GGAACTGTCAGTCAAACCGACCGGAGAGCAGAGTTCCCCTCAGCTCCTTTTCCTGCCTCTGACTTTCTAAAACGTTTTTTTTTTTTTTTTTTTTTAAACCGCTCGTCTTTTTCACGCTCACACACTCCAACGTTTAAATGTCGTGCCGTCAGCGTCCCGGCACGTCTTTCTCGCCACGACCTTAAATGACTCAAAATAATTCACACTGGCAGCACAACTCGAATTTGGGGGAAATTATAAATGATGTAGTTTGACTCCTGTGATGTAAAATTAAAAATCTCCTCCCTGTGCGTGTTTGCCATCACACGCTGCGAGAGGAGCAGAAAGTGGCGACTCCTCGCTCCGCGGTCTTGAACAAGCGGTTTATGTAACGCTCAGGAGAAGCGCTCGTACGACTGTGGGTCCGGAGCAGTGATGTGAGGATGATTCTTTGTGCACAGACCCGGGATCGTTTGCCCGCCGGCTGCGACGCCTGCTGAAGGTTTCTGGCTTTGAGAGACGCAGATACGAAGCAAACCTCCGTTACATCATCGATGATGAGTCCGAGTGTGTCAGAGGTTTTACTGGAGCTTCAAAACAAGGAGCTGCAGCTTTGATATTTGAGCTCTGAGGGGTCGGTAAAGTAAAATATATATTTTATATTTAAAGATATGAAAACACGAATGTTCTTTGACAAAATACGAAACTACAAAACAACATCTAGTCTTTAAATTAAAGACGGGTTCTCACCAATACAAGTAAAAACTCAGATAATGGATTTTATATTTTCCACATAATTCATTATATTTACCCTCCGCCATTTTATGTCAGTTGAGTTTGATTTATTTCTGTCATGAAGTAAACAACACTCCCACCATGGACTTCATAACGACTTCTGCTTTGTATTCGAGCCCTTTAGACTCTGATCACGTGTTCTTCACCTCTTTTTCTCGACTGGATGAATTGAACTGGATGAACCGTAGCGTGCTCTCACCCTCACTCTGCTCATGGCCTCCTGCGCCTGCTGCATGCGGGCGCTCTTCGTCGGCGTCCTCTCCGACAGCAGGTGGGTGCAGCCCAGGTAGGTCGCAGCGAAGATGATGCCGTCAATCAGGTCCTCAGGGTCACATGGTCCCAGGACTGTGATGAGCAGAGAGCACCCATCAGGCGAATGTACACACATACAGGTACATCTGTACATGTTCAAAATATAATGTATATAAAAACACATGAAATGAAATGTGTTGGCGGAGGAGGAAGTAATCCACTCACCGTCCACAAATGTGGGAAAAGAGGGAAGAGATCTGCGAATCTGAGGAGACACGAGAAAAACTGTATTTATTAAAACTCAGTCGGTTGTTTGAATGTTTGTAGATAAACACAAAATATATCCTGAAACCTGAGCGGCACATTTAAATAAAACATAGTCTTCTTAAATATCAATCTGTAGATTTAAAATTGGTTTCACAGGATTTGACCCCTGATGTAAGGCAGACTGTGAATAAAGATGTCTGGATCTCCCCCTGGTGGCTGACTGCAGTTTAGATCAGAAAACCCACATGAGCACAAGATGGCAGCGTTCACGTCCGGGATATGTCGGGGCAGACACGTCCTCCATCTTTATTTAGAGTCGTGAGTATAAAGTAGTAGAAAGCTTCACACGATGATAAGTCCAGTGTAACAACGTTCTGCTCGGTCTCACCTCCTGGGCGGACGGCTGCTGCAGAGGAGACTGCGGCTCCACCTGCGGCCTCGGCTGTGGAGGTGGAAGCGTCTGATGCTGTTGTCGCTGCTGCTGCTGACGCTGTTGACTCGGCACCGTGTGTGCGTATGGTACCTGCGGCCTGGCGGTGTCCCTCTGCTGTGAGGCGTGGCCTTGGTGGTGGTGGTGGTGGGAGTTGTGTTGTTGGTGATAATGTTGGGGGTGAAGGGCTCTGGATGACTCCGGCCTCCGCGGACTGAGCTGCTCCCTCACTGGACCTGAGGCGTAGCACGATGGAGACTCCGGTTCTGAGCGAGAGGGAGATTTAGGAGAAGACTACGAGAAAGAAACAGAAAGAAAAGAAAGGCATGAAACTTTAATGCCGCAGATCACACTGACAACTTTCTCTGGGACGGATGATTTAGGATTTGGGCTCAAATCCAAGTGACACTAGATGCAATGAAAGGCAAGGATGTAAATCTCTTTGTAAAAGTTCTTGGAAGCAATGACATCAAATTGAATTATTGCAACACTGCAGCAAACAGCAAACTCCTTGAGCAAAGTCACTCAGACTGAAAGAAACAGATCGGCAACACATCACACTTTTAAAAATGATCCTTTGCAACACAAACATTCTGATATTTTTAGCATTTTCATTTACTGCTCGTGTTCTGTTTCCTCTTTAAACCTCGTTCCGAGCTGCCACCAACACAACAAGAGCCCAAAGAATAAGGATGACGTCATACTCACACGTCCGGTGGCGGTCTGCAGCGAGTACACCTCCTCCGTGGGGCTGACCTCCTGCCTCATCACCCATATCGGCTCCACCGGCTGATCGGGTGTATAGGGGGAGCGTATGGTCTTCGTCTTCACCTCCTCAATCGCCTCCTTGATGTCTTTGATCGCCAGGCTGATGGCGTCTCCCGAGCCCCTGGAACCTCCCTCCCCCGGGTGACCCACCACACTCAGCTGCTCCAGGGCCTCGGCTGAGCTGCTGTGCCCAGACGAGGGGCTCTTATCCTGGGGTTCAGCTTGTCTGGGTGCACGTCTATGACTTTTGGGAATGGGGCTTTGACGTCCGCTGTCCCCCTCGCCGTCGGACTGTCCGTCATAGTGGTGCAGCCGGCAGCCGACGGAGCGGTCCAGAGGGGAGTGATGTGAACGGCGGTCTCTGACCTGCCTTGGTGCATGATGGGAGCCCTTGGTAGGAGAGGATGGAGAAACCCTCTCCTCTCTATGGCTGGTAAAGGGCTCCTGGCTTGACTCCTGCTGGGCCTCGTGACGCTCGGTCCTCCGGTTAGGCGGCCTGCAAGGTTCTCTGGGTAACTCGGGGTAGGAGGTCATGAGAGGTTCAGGAAAAGAGTTGGGATGGGATTTAGCCTCCGAGTAGGACTCGTACACAGGATCCGGGTAAGACTTCTGATGGGACTCGGAATAAAAGTCTGCATAGGTTTTTGGGTAAGACTCGGAGCAGGAAGTAGAGTGTGACAGCGAGCAGGATTCAGAGCAGTCCTCGTCCTCGTCCTCCGGTAGGTCATTGTCAGGGACGGGACTCATGCTGGCGTCCTCACTGAAGTGGTCCAGTTGGGGAAAAGGTGGAATGTCGGGGGAGGAGGGAGGAGTCGGTGACTGGAGCGGCGGCGGGCTGTGAAGGGGGCCGTCCATGCTGAGCGAAGCCGCGCTCTCCGTGTCCGAGCAGAGATCTGTGATTTCACTTCCCTGAGCAGCAATGTCCTCCGCCACGTCATCCATCACTTCCTCCTGATCCTCTTCCACCCTCGCTGCACTTTCCTCCGCTGCCCCGTCGACCGCCTTCACGTCGTCGCGGCCGCAGACGGAGCTTCCTGTTGCTGGGCAGCAGTCTCCGTCGTCCTCGGCCTGTTCCTGTTCTTCTTCCTTCTCCTTCACTTCCTCCACTTCCTCTTCACACACTGCTCTCTGGTCCTCCTCCGCATCAGCATGTGGAGTGTGTTGCGGGTGAGGTTGCACGTTGTGGGTTGCAGGAGCAGGTGAGAGGTGGGTGGGGGTTACCACAGCAACAGGAGTGTGGTGAGGAGATGCTCTGTCCTGTGATTGGTCTGTCACGGCATCATCGGCAGAGCGCTGCTGCAACTGCACCTCCGCCGGACCTTCCCTCTCATCCTCACCGTGCGACGAGTCCTGCATCTCTCTGATCGGCTGCCTCTGTCTTTGACCTCTGAGCCTGGGGTTAGGGTCGCCGTGACGACGGTAGCGGGCGACAGCAGGGCGTGGTTGCTGGACAGGAAGAGGATCGGCGTCCCGGTTCTCGCCCCCTTCTGGCCTGGAAGACGCAACCACGGGAATCTGATCAGGACTTTGAGCCTGCCCTGGCGTGGGGCGCCGGCGGTGCCGAGCAGGTCCGCGACCCGTTGCCGGATGATGGTGGTGATGTGGATTGTGATGCTCGTGATGGTGGTGGTGGTGATGATGGGGATTCGGCTCCCCGTCCTGGTTGAGCATCTGGCACGGCCTCCAGGAGCGTCGCACAGGAGGTTCCCCGCGCGTCGTCCCGTTGGGCTGCCTGTTCCTCGGAGGCCCCTTGTGCTCCTCGCACGGTTCCTCCGTCACCTCTCCCTGATACTTGTGGCTCATGGCTGCGACGTGATCCGACTCTGCGTCTCAGAACATCCTTATGTGTCTCAAACGAAACTCCGCTCACAGCTCAGCCTGGAGACACAGAGACGGGATTTAATTACAGAAATAATCAATCCAAGGAGAGATTTCAAATTAAATGTCTTAAATCTCCTTTCAAAACAGAGTATTAGACAGCGGAACTTAAAAGTATTTAGATTAATCATCTTTCCTGACTTGTTCATTCGATATTTTAGGTTTTTACCCAAAAGTTTTGCCTGAATTTCAGAGTAAATTGATTCTTTTTGAGACTTTTGGTCACAAAACAACAAACAACAGAAAGATGTTTTTCATATTTTACAAAATACGACAGTGGACTCGTTCGTCCTCTGTGTCTGACTGAATGAACTGAGACAAATCATTATCTCGACTGAAGGGAGGTGTTGAGTGGTTATGGAGAAACAGCTTCAGCTAATTCTCAGGAGAGAGATCAATATCTTAATTGTGCGTTTTTCTGAAAGTGGCTAAATGACTGCGACTGAAAATCACTTTTCCTGATTTCCTTCATGATGAACGTTTAGGTGCATTTTACAAAATGAACATCGTGTCGCACCGAAGAAGCCCAGAGATCGAGATGAGTCATTTTCTCATAGACCTCGGACGTCAGGCTTATTTCTCCTGGACCTGGACTCCATTTGTATTTACAGTCTACAGTTACTACGGTGATGTAGCATCAGGCTGGGGACTCCCTGTCTCCCTTTCCCTGCCGAGGGCGAAAACCTAAATCCTCTGGGATTCATCTGGGTGTGCACTGCACTTTAATCTGCGCCGCACTCATCCGTCCTCCAGCAGCTGGCAGATGGCACAGGACGGAGGAGGAGAGGAGGAGGTGGGGCAGGGGGACGAGGAGGGACGTCTCTCTTACATCTGATGAGAGCTGATTTAGAGGAGTGGAGAGGGCAGCGACATGAATTATAAATGTGAGAAACCCAGTTTTGATATTTATTGGATATGACAGGGCAATCAGTGTTTACATCAGTTATCTCATCATAACAGGCCTCAGTGTGTCCGAGGGCAATATCAGTGAAAGGGACGTTACAACGGGATCCAATGTCCTGGAAGTTATTCAAGAAAAGGTGACAAATGTACAGTTTAAAGGGGAAACAAAGGTTAAAGCTTCTTGGTCCCATGTATTTGAATGAAGCTCCTGAAACTCGCCCACTCTGTTTGAACAGTCAAAACTGTTTTTTTCCCCATCTGAGCACCCGTGGGTGTGTTGGTCTTACAATGAGGTTATCGGGCGGATTCTTGGCACATCGCTATCGAGGCAGCTGAAAGGGATCGACCAACAAAGAAGTCAGAAGTCAGACGTGTTGTGTTTCACATGTTTGATCCAACATGGTGCGAGGGTACGTGGGTTTTTAAAGGGACTGGGAGACACGCTCTGACGCATGTTTTTCCTCCGCTGAACGAGCAGAAGTGGATTTAAACTCGCTGCAATAGTTTTTGGACACTGGATTAAGGTGCGACAGACGCGTTTGTCATCTTATATAAATTCTAGACGTTGAAAACCAAACGCGACGCAGAGGGCAAAGGTTGATTTGGATTCTGTAATCTGAGCACGAACCACAACTGCTGGAGTGAGGGTGGGCTCCCAGGGTGGCTCAGGTCCCTCCCTGCCGTGGGGGGGGGGGTTAAGGACTGGGTGACTTGGAAGGGGATAGTTTGAAAGGAGGGGTTGCCCGGGTCACAGATGGCCCTGGCAGCGACAGTGAGTCGGACCAGGCCTGCGGAGCCGTGAGCCGAGCGACGCACCTCCATCTGTTCGGCTGCAGTGGAGGCTCACGGATTTCCGAGCCCATTAACTTGCTGATCTTACACTGACAGAAAAACACACACTGACAACAACACACGTGTCCCGTACGTACTTAAAGCCTTCACCAATTACATCCGCTCACTGAACTCGCTCCACTACACACACACACTAAGATAACCATCGGCAGATAGACCAGTCCATCACTGTATCGTCATCGCTCAGTCTTTATCATTTGGGTTCAAGAGACTGTCAATCACGTGTTTTCTATAGATAAAATCAGAAAACTGTTTTAAAACGATCCTTCACATGATTTCAGAGAAAAACAACTCACAGATGATGTGATGAGATTTAAGGGACGTGACCTCATCTCGTCTTTAAATAAACAAGTAGTTTGATGCACACGTATGATCACAGATTTCAGTGTTTCAAGAGGAAATGAGAAAATATTCACAGATTTGATTTGAATTATGTAACTGAGGAAAACTGAAACTCTTGAGATTCTGGATCGTGAGATCCGGAGATGTCACCTTGGGCTCAGGGGAATTCAAATCTAATCTCTAATTTAAGATTCCTGAACTAAAGGATTCATAATAGTGGATTAATAAGCGTCAGGTGAATGGATGATGGGTTTTTTCAGCTGCAGCTCTGGTGATTCTCCTCATCCATCTGTGCTGGAGCTCATGATTCATCCTCACACACCTTCAGCCAGCAGCTCCGTGTTCAGATCAATATACTGACATTGTGTTTACATGCACACTGACGTTAACCCACGAGCAACCTCCAGACTCCCGCTGGTTCAGATCCGCTCCTGTGGCCTTGAAGGATTTTATTAAGATAAATACGATCTTCTACTTTCACAGTTGTGGCTCCAGCTCTTTAAAAAGGCGTTTTTACAACCCAGGCTCTGGACGCTCGCTCCGGGGCCGTGATGGATGAATGTGCTTCATCCCGGGATCCGCACCCGACGCCCTCAAACGCCTGACATGAGATTTCAAACACAAAATCAAATGCTCATCGAAGTGTTCGCACGCTCCTGACGTTAAATCTCCACGGGAGCGTGCGCCATGACAGAAAACACGACCCGACCATCCGCGCGTCCTGCCCCGCACTACACCCACCGGCGGCCGGACATTTACCTGCGTGTCGGTGGAGGAGAGGCCCGGCTCCGGCTGCTGCAGAACACGGCATCGCTCCCGGTCCTGTTCCTCCCCCGGTGCCTGCGCGCCTGGCTCGGCTCGGCTCGCCCTGGCTCCGCCGGTGCCTCCACACAACTCGGTGGGATTAACGCGCTCAGCCCCTCCTGCACCGTGACATCACCGCGGATTAACGATGCACAAAGCGCCTTTGCTGATGCAGGTCGTTCAGACACAAACAGTTCCGTGTGGAGCCTCGTCCCTCCCACTCCTCCTCCTCCTCCTCATCATCCTCCTCCTCCTCCTCCTCCATCAGCCTGCAGAGCTGCTGCAGCACCGGTGGCTGCTGTGTTCCCACGGTCTGCCGGTAGGAGTCGCTGTGATCTACCTGTTCGACCCACGAGAAGATCGGCGACACACCTGAGAGAAGAAGAAGAAGAAGACAGGTAGACTTTAAACGTCTTTTCCTCAAACAGCAGCAGCAGACTTCACCTGAGGAGACAAGCTGACCCCTGACCCCTGACCCCCTGCGAGGTCACGACCGTAAACCATAAAAAATAACGTGCAAAGGAAAATAAAAGAAATGATGCAAAAAGTGATTTTAACACCGGTGTTTGGGGTCGAGTCTTAAATTGCATTTCTACGTCGGGAGAGAGTTCAACGCACTGCAAATTAATAAAACACACGAAAATAGAAAAAACACACAAATTAAGAAAACGACTTAAACTGTAAACTGTAAACTGCAAAAATGACACCGGAAATGTTTCCAGGGAAGAAGTGATGAACCTCCAACGCTTTGTGGAGTTCCATCTCTACTGAGGAGAAGCAGACTTCAATAACTATG